TAACGTATATGGCATAATGTAGTTTTAATACAGACAGAATGTGTCTTCGTAGTGCTTGGGTAGTTATGGTAATATCGAAATATCTGACAGAATTATCTTCCTAAAGTTTCCTAAATTAAAAAAAATAGGTTGATAAAATTCTCTCAATAATTACTTGCAAAATTTGAAAATTTTCTACAATAAATTATGTATTTACACATGCTCTATTTCAAGTAAAAAAAGCTGCATTCGCTAAAAATATAAATTTAAATTTTGAAAAAACAAAAATTTTTTCACAAATTAGCAAAAAATTAAAAACAAATCTTTAAAATCTATTGACTAATACATAGAACACGGGGGCAATTGTTATAAGGGTAATGATGATCGAATATTTTTTTCTTTTTCCAATCTGTATTTAATCCCTGATAGAGGTTTCTCCTCCAACTCACAGGTCTTGCTAGCTTCTCCGCATTTCCCTTACAAACAATTGCACCATTTTGCAACACATTTACAATTAAATTTACAACTCAGTATTCTTTACAATTATCCTAAACTATTTGCTATAGAGTTCTCTTCAACTTGAGTCACACAAGGTTTTCAGCAAAAAGTAACTTTAGTTCTTAATTTTTTTCTCTAAATACATTTTTTGATTATTTTGCAATGGATATTCTATTTTTTCAATTTTAACTTTTCAAAATTTAATTGTGAAGTAATATTTTTTTTTTAAATATTTGGACACCAAAACTCTCAGTTTTTTCCCACTTAAAATTGTATATTAATTTTTATGGAACAATAGAGAGAAAAATATGGTGTCGATTTGCAATAGGTTTTAATAACAAACTTAATGGGTAAGTATCTAAATATTTAATTTTCTCTTAAAAGTAATATTTATTTACTTTTTTTTTACTTCAAATAATCCTTGTTCTTATAAACTTGGATTTTTTTTTTAAATTTGATTAAATATTTTTTTTTATAAATGTTTATATAACAATATCTAATTTATAAATTTATATTTTAAACATTTAACATATTTGACCTGAATCCGAAACATAGTACACTGTTGTTGTTGTGGTGGTGTAGGGTGTTTTTTTAATGTTTTTTGTTGTTATTGTTATTTTGTTGAAGATATAGCGATAGAAATGAAGTCACATTTAAAGCTATAGAGTATAGAGTTATATATAGAGGTGTTTTGGCATTGTTTTTTTGTTGTAATGTAATATTTATGTTTTTTTTTTTTTTTTGGTGAAACCACTATAAACAAAATTTAAGTGCATTATAGGGAATTTCTCTAATAGTTGTATGATTAATTTAATGTGTAAATATATTCTATTAAATATATATTTTAGAGTGTAAAATTTTCTCATTGATTTTTGTTGATCCAAAATGGTAGAAAAAAAGCAGTCACATGATATTTTTAGTGTTTTCAGGTCATTCAGTTCCGCTGGACTTCTTTGGACTGCCAGTGCAAAATTTCACTACGTTATTAAGAGTCTTTTTGATTTACATTGTTTTTTGACGATATTTAAATATATTCGCTTAATTTCCAATGTTGTTTGGTTAACTCAAAAATAATTTTAAAACACTGGAAATATTAATCTTGTAAAATTGACATTTATCTATTATAGTATATTTCGATTAGAGCTTTCTGCCAGGTTAACCTCCTTTATGAGGATTTATTTGAAGTATATGCAATGTAATTGGCAAATTAAATCCACCATCAATTTATAATTAATTATATAAACTGTAAACGTACTATAGACTTCAATCATAAGGTATGCCACGTTTACACACCTGGGGTAATCCCTTTTTTATTTTATATATTTTTTAATTTTTTTTTATTTTATATATGCAGCTATGGCATCAAAAACACTTCAAAAATATATTTATATATCGAGTTTCATTATAATTTTATGAGCTAATACAAAAAAGGACAATGTAGAAAACACCTTGATCTCAGTAGCGTAAACGAAACTTCCATTTTCATTTTTCATAATATTAAAGATATTTAAAAAATGTTAATATTTTGTGTAGTATAATTATTCTACTTTTTAATCACACAACTATGTTTTGCATATTTACATTTACTAATAATTAAATCTCCCTTATTTACATTTGTACTTAAATATTGTTTATAATAATTTCACTTTTCTTAGACTTCTAGAGTTAATATAATTGCGGTGTAAGGTAGATAAGGGATAGAGGAAATGTACATGAGATATTCAGACTGCAATATTGATTTAATTATTAAAATTCAATGCATGTAAATTATTGAAGGACAACATTTTTTTTTTGCAATATGAATATCCTTCATAGATGGCGTTGTCCCTTCACACAATTTTTTGTCAACAAACAAAGCTGTTTGAATGGTTTCCCTCATTTGGAATTAGATCTTCCAAAATATTATTCTTCATAATATTAATAAGAATAGTACTTTTTCGTAAATACTATAAAAATACAACCCTGATGTCGCTTTCTGACGGAATTATTTAAAGTGACATGCAACAGGTGCTTTAAATAAAATAAATTCAAGAAACTAGTTCTTTTGGACATCTGTTTTACATAGCCGACTTTTGGTTCTAAGCAAGTGCGAATATATCAGTCAGTTTTGCCGACAGCCTATGTTTGATAATTTAAATTTATCTTGACTTGTGTTGCCGAAGGAGGTGGGTCGAGTCGATTTATGCATGTCCGTCCGTCCGTGAGCCTGTCCATGTATTTTTGTAAACAAAGTACAGTTCGCATTTATTGCCCTATCCGGATGAAAGTTTTCACAGATCATTTGTTTGGCCCAAGGACGAACCCTATTTAAATTGGAGATAATCGGTCAAAATTTAGACATAGCTACCATATATATCTTCGTCCGATTTGCCTTTTATTGTGCACCAAACGTGTAATATCAGCCCGAATAGTATGGAATTTTGCACATACAACCAAATTAGGCCTTAAAATACATATGCCAAATTTGATCGAAATCGGTTCAGATATAGCTATAGCTTCCATATATATTGTTCATCCGATTTGTTATTTTTGTCCTCCGCAGCCGTAATATGCACTCTGTAACAACAATATTTGGGGAAATATATCAAATACAGCTCAAAAATACATTTGCTAAATTTTATCGAGATCGGTTCAGATTTGGATATAGCTCCCATATATAACTTCGTCCGATTGACATTTTATTGTGCACCAAACGTCTAATATTTGTCCAAATGGGATGAAATGTCGCGCTTATGAACGAATTGAGTCTAGAAGCTAGTATGTTAAATTTGGTGAAGATCGGTTCAGATATAGCTATAGCTCCCATATATAATGTTCATCCGATTTGTTATATTTGTTACTCACAGCCGGAGTGCATCGTAACAACGATATTCAGGGAAACATTTATCGAGATCGGTTCCGATTTGGAAGCTCCCATATATATTATTATCCTATTTCAAATTAATTGTGCACCAAATGGGCAATACAAGTCCGAATGCTTCGGCATGAATATTTCTTTGAACTTTAAATTATAATCATAGCGTGTATGATTGAATTCTCCCATAAAAAATTTTAATTGTTATGCGGAGCTCTACTAAATTAGCAAAGTGGTGTAGGGTATCATAAAGTCGGCCCCGCCCGACTTTAAGACTTTCTATACTGGTTTTATATCTTTATTAATTGATGTATGAAATGGATTCTTTCGGTCCGCTATATCTATTAACTCAGGGATATTTCCAAGTATAGGAAGTAGTCGATATAGTCTAAATCTGGCACGTTGTAATATTTATGATGTTTAATATCAGTCTTAGGTCAGGTACGAATTGGTCAATATTGTCAAATTGCTTCGGAAGGGTCGACGGTGCAAATAAGTCTCTAAATACAAGGACAAAAGATTATTTTGTTTCCTAAGCTGTTAGGGAAATTCAATAATTTCAAGATAAGTTTTGTTTTATAACTTTTCCTATTTTGTCTGAAAAAATAATGGGAAAAATGACAACAAAAATTGATATATCGCCAAACAGCTTTACTTGTCGATCAATCACATGTGCATAGGGACGGTGTACAGAAAATGGTACAAAAAACAAGAGAGAGGCTGGAAAATGCAAAAGTCATCGTGGAATAGTTTTAGGGCAGCTCAAGAGCAAGAGCTCGCTCAGTAGTTCAATTTAACTAAACTTAAAAATCAGTGTTTGTTAAAAATTGAAAAAATTAATATTTTAAAATTATTATATATAAAATTATTTATTTTTTATTATTTACTTCATTAATAATTTTTAAAAACATGTTTGAAAATATGTAACAAAAATGGTAAAATTATATGAAAACTTTTGTATTCTGGAGCGCTGCTTAATTATAATGGAACTTCTCTTCTGAATTTACCCTCTTTTGTAAATGTTCAGTTCATTTTATTTTAATTCTCTTTGTGATCTCTGTTATAAGGGAATTAAGAACTTCCTTCGATATTGGAACATTGTTGTAGTTTTTCTCACAACATTAAATATCAAGAAATCCAAGTTGATTTTTATTTATGTATTTTTATACAAATTTAAGAATTTTTTTTATTAAAAATTGATATTCAATTAAAAATAATTAAATGGCATATTTCTCTTTTTCAATGTGAGAGGTTTTTCGATAACCTAAGACTTTTGCATTACTCTCTTGCCATCTTGTTTGTTCCACCATTAGTTTGAGAGTAGAGTAAGTAAGTTATTGAGAGAGTATAGTATGTATAGTTTAGAGAGAGAGAGAGATATATGGTGAGTGAAAATGTTTATAGTTACACATTATTGACATTTAAACAACATTTATGGTTTCTTAACAATATTAATATGCATTTTCAGTAAATAGGTTTTTTTTTGTCTTTTTCTTCTTATTTTGTTTCTTTGTTTTAGTAGTAGAAGTAGTACTTGTACACAGGTGAAGAACACACAGAGAGTAATGTTATCGATGAATGAATGAGTAATTGAACGAAAAGAAAAGGATGAGAGAAAAATAAAACCAAAATGTCATGTGGACAAAATGCAAAACGGAAATTGTATTACCTTAACCCTTTGTAGATCGATGGGATTCATAATGGTGCCTTGGAAAAATTCCACTGTGGTAAAATGGCGTTTGAATAAACCTTCTAGTTCCAAATCGGGTGGTTTTCTTTGGAATTTTTTTATTTTTGGTTTTGTTTCGATTTACCAATGGTTGTATTTGTGGATGTGGTCCAATTTAAAAATAAAGATTTTTTTTCGGTTTCGGAATTTTTGTTTGTTGATTGGTTGGTTGTGATGATGGCAGGGAATTTAGACGAGTTTTTTTGATTTTTGAGGTGGTTATTGAAAAGAGTTTGTAGAAAATAAATTTTTTTTGCTCAATTCAATGGCTTTGAAACAAAGTTAAGATGGAGGGCCAATAGAAGAACCATGGATGGTAGCAAAAATGTTGAAATTAACCAGTGATAGGTTTAATCAAATATCAGAGTAATTTTTAGTACTGCCTTCCACGGGCTTGCTATTGACCCTCCAGCTTAATTATTTTTTAAGGTCTGTTTTAGTTTCGAATAGACTTATAAATTAGGAGTTTAGTATTATCTAAGAGAAGTAGGTTTCTCATACAAATTTGAAGTGATCTACTTAGAAAATAAATAAACAAACTTAATTTACCATATATACAAAGTTTCGAAATAGCATTAAAAATAAATTTTCAAAATTCCATAAAAAATATGTTTTTCGAAATACATAAATATTTGTGCTTCTTTTTTTTTACATAAGGTATATTAATTAATATTGGAAAAATTTTACAATTTTAATTTTTTTCAAAACCTAAATTATTAAAGAAGTAGTTTTTTTATAAAAAAAAAAATATAAATTTTCTACTTAGAATTGAAATAAATTGAATATAAAATTGAAAATAAATTGTTTTTTTTTTTTGGTTTTAAAGCAGTTGCCTATGTATAGAAATTACGAAAAAGTAGATAGAGTAGTGATTTCAATCTAATATATAATGTCTAAGTAAAAGTTTTCAAAAAATATATATATGTATATTACTAATAAATGTCATTCCATTGAAGCATTGATAACTTGATCCAAAGCACATAGTTTCCATTTGATGATGAAAACAAAACAAAAAAAAAAAAAGGAACGAAAAATAACAAAAAAGGTACTAAAAAGAGAAATCAACTGAAAATTAAACATCCTAAAATAAAATGAAAATTAACTTTTTTGGCAAAAAATATTTCAAAATTTGCCCAAAAATGAAAAATCAACAATCCAGCAGAACTTGGGGTGGATGGGCAATTCAGTCATTTTGGGTCAATATTCATAAATTTCTGGATCTTAGGCAGGGATATGCAATTTTTTTATTCATCACTTTATAGAAAAATTATTAATTATTATTGTTATTATTATTATTATTATTGTTATTAATATTATAATATAATAATAATAATTATTATTATTATTATTATTATTATTATTATATTATTATTAGTATTATTATTATTATTATTATATTATTATTATTATTATTATTATTATTATTATTATTATTATTATTATTATTATTATTATTATTATTATTATTATTATTATTATTATTATATTATTATTATTATTATTAATTATTATTATTATTATATTAATTTAATTATTATTATTATTATATTATTATTATTATTATTATTATTACTATTATTATTATTATTATTATTATTATTATTATTATTATTATTATTATTATTATTATTATTATTATTATTATTATTATTATTATATTATTATTATTATTATTATTATTATTATTATTATTATTATTATTATTATTATTAGTATTATATTATTATTATTATTATTATTATTATTATTATTATTATTATTATTATATTATTATTATTATTATTATTATTATTATTATTATTATTATTATTATTATTATTATATTATTATTATTATTATTATTATTATTATTATTATTATTATTATATTATTATTATTATTATTATTATTATTATTATTATTATTAATTAATTATTATTATTATTATTATTATTATTATTATTATTATTATTATTATTATTATTATTATTATTAGTATTATTATTATTATTATTATTATTATTATTATTATTATTATTATTATTATTATTATTATTATTATTATTATTATTATTAATATTATTATTATTTACTATAATTATAATTATATTTTTAATTTTATTTCATTTACATTTTATTTTGCTTTTTTTCAAAATTTTAATTTTTTTTTACTTTATTTATTTTTTTTTTCTTTCTAATTTCAATATTTTTAATTTTCAATATTTCGACAATTTCAATAACTCCTGACCTGGCCCTCCACCCAAAGCCCGCATAACAAGGACATACTTGGAGAGATATAAAACATTTCCTAACAATGTTGTTTGCATTGGGCGCCAAGACCGAAACGCATAAACTAATGACTTGATGGGGAGAAAAAAAGCCAGTATTGGAATAAAATAAAGAAAACTAAAAAGATTTGCACGGCAGTGATAAATTTGTCTTCCAGCTTTCATTTCTGTTTTTGTTTTAGAACAGCTTGCTCAAGCCTTTTCATCAGCGAAATGGATTGTGGGAGTGCAATTTCAAATGCCAGGCAAAGTTTCATTCATTTACATTTGGGTTTTGCTGAATTTTGCAAGAAAAGAAAATAGCTATTTTTCCGGTGAAACTTTTTCCAACTGAAAAACCAAATCAAGGAACAGATGCAAAGAAAATGATTTTCGTTACGCCTGACTGCTAAAAATTTGAGTTGATGTGAAAGGTTGCATTTTTTTGTCTAATCTTTAATTGAGTTTCATTGCAAATTTCGGTAGAAGAAAACAAAAAGGAGAGGGGGCTTTGATTGATGGTCTCTTTTGGGGTCTTTTTAGAGAAAACAATATTTTCTTTTTCTTTTAAGGAATAATCATACATTCACGTAATTTTTGTTTCTTTTTTGGATCTATGTTCTGTGGTGGTATTTTTGGGTGGTTTTGGTATTGTGGTGATAAAGTGGTCAAAAATTATGTTTTTTCCTTTCTTTTTGTTTTTTTCAAGTTTATCTTTTTTTGCATTTGAGTCTGATTTGTTTTTTTTTTTTTTTTTTGCTGATTGGTGGTGTTGTGTACCTTGACTCGTTCCAAATCGACGGCATTCATCATGGTTCCCTGAAAAAACGCCACGGTTGTATAATGGCGCTTCAATAATCCTTCTAGTTCCAGATCAGGCTCCTTGCTATTTGATTCAGTAATTGTTTCAAGTTTTGAGTTTTCAAAATAAATTAAACACATATTATGACATTTTCCATTTTCCATAGAATTTAAAAAAATAAAATACAGATTTTGTAACACAAAATTCCAGAAATTATTTGAGAAAATTAAATGGCATTAAGTTGGGGTTTCTTGGCTTAAAAGCTAAACTTAATTGTAGTTTTAGAACAAAAATAAATTATAACATTAGTTTAAAAAAAGATTTACACATTTTTGGAAAATAAATACTTAAAACTATTTTCATTTATTCTTACATTTATTTTTTTTTTTAATATTACAATTTTCAAATAAATATTTGTGTAATAAAAATTTTATTTTTTAACATTAAGTATATATAATTGTTAATATTAAAAATTATGTTTTACAAAAGAGGTTTCAAATTAAGTGGAACAAATTGCTTGGAATGAGAGAAATTTCAGGGGAAGATAGTTAATATTTGCAGCTGATTTTTATATACTGGATGTGAGAATTTTATATTTTATTTTTATTTTTTTTTGCTTTTTAATAATTTTTTTATTTTATTTATTTATTTATTTTTTTAATTTCAATATTTCAATATTAATAATTTAAAATTAATTTTAATAATTTAATATATATATATATATATATATATATATATATATATATATATATATATATATATATATATATATATATATATATATATATATATATATATATATATATATATATATATATAAATAAATATATATTTATATATATATAACATCTATAGCAAGAACTTTAATAAAATATCCCCACTGACACTGAAATGCAAAATTGAGATGGAGTTTTTAAAAATTTACGTTGAAAGTTTCCAATACATTTAAATGCGCCACGAATGTACATATCATGGTAGAATTAATAAGGTAACCTCCAATAACCTCCAATAATGCATTTGACAACATGTCATTTTCAAAAGGTATATTCATAAATTTATTGTGAGACAGACAGAGATGGAAAACTGTTTTGTTTGCCGTTAAATATGACAAGTTAAATTAGAGAAAATGCAGTGCTGGATATGTCATTTCAAAATGAGGTTACCTTCTTAATTCTACCATCACAATTATTACAATTTTTTGGAATCGAATCATATATTTGTTAGCATACCTCAAGGCGTTGAAATTTAAATGAAATAAAATCTGCTGCAGAATCTACTAAACCTTTCTTAAATGTAATTCAAATCATTTGGGTTGTAATTCGAAACATTTCATTTGCAACTCTGAAAAATTCCCTATTTGACATGGAGATTGTAGAAAATTCAGAGCTGGATATGCTTTATTGAAATGAAGCTACATTCATGGTAGAATGCATGACAATTATTTTACAATTGGAATCAAATCATAATTCCAATAGCATACCATTAGGCGTTGATATTAGAACGATTTAAGCTCTCTTGCAGAATTTACTTAAACTTTCTCAAATTTAATTCGAAATATTTTAGGTCCACCCTTCCTTTTCCTTTCAAATTTTGTAAAAATTTTGAAAAAAAAAAAAAACTGACTAACAGAGAATCAAAGCCCAGACGAAAGAGCTTCAGCTAGAATCTTAAACGTTTTGCACGAAGACCAGTCTTGGTGCGTAGGAGAGTGATAAGGTTGGGTTTTTGGAAATTCGTACAAGAATTCGTAAAAGAATACGAAAAGTAACGAAATGAGCTAGAATTAATTTTTTTTTTAATTCTAGAATTTGAAATTTTGAATGAGTTACTGTTGGAGGGCAGTATGGATGAAATGTTTTTTTTTTCTTTTTTTTTGGAAAGGTTACGAAAAGTTCTAAAATGGTACTAAATTTCGAAAATGGTACCATTTGCTGTTTCGTGAACGGATGGAGCTACAACTTTAAGTTCCGTGTGAAAATCAAGGTTGGAAAGCTAGTTTGATATGTGAAGGTGGTTTTGAAAATGTGTATTAAGTTTGCCAACTGTACTAAATAGTACCAAATTTAGTTTAGGATGTACGGATGGAGCTGATATTTCGAAGTTTTGGTATTGGAATCCCTGTTGGCGGCAGATTTGAGAATTAAAACGAAATGGTTTTCAAAATGTGTACCAAAACTGCACAAAAAGTACGAAATGGTACAATTCGGATTGGGTGAACAAATAGAGCTTGAAGTCTGAAATTTGGTATTAGGGTCGCTTGTCATGCGCAGTCAGGACATTTGGAGGTGGTTTCAGAAATTGTACGATCGGTACCGAATGGTACTTTTATATTTGATATTAGGTAAAGGGATAAAGATAACATTTTGAAATTTGGCATTTAGATTACCCATGGTGTCCGTGTTTGGGATTTGGCAGTGGTTTAGAAATTAATCTTATATTTATATGAAAAGTACTTAATGGTACTAAATTTGATATTGAGTGAAGGGATAGGGCCGGAATCCTCACAAGGAGGAAGTATCGGAAATGTGTACTATATTTGCACAAAAACACTAAATAGTACGAAATTTGGTCGTGGTTGAAGGAATAGAGATAAAATTCTGAAATTTGATATTTAGATTACTGATGGTGTCTGTATTTGAGATTTGGTAGTAGTTTGGAAATGCGCCCTCTATCTGTACGAAAAGTACTCAATAGTATTATATTTAATGCAATGTGGTATTGTGTGAAGAAATAGTACTTGAAATCTAAAATTTGGTATTGGGATCGCTGTTCCTGTGCAGTCTGGACACATAGTTTCGGTTTCGAAAATATGTACTCTAAATGTATGAAAAGTACTGAATTGTACTATATTAGGTACAATTCTGAAATTTGATTGTTATATTACTGATGGTGCATGTGTTTGAGATTTTGAAGTAGTTTGAAAATTCGTCCCATATTTGTACGAAAAGTACTAATTAGTACTAAATTTTAGATTACCCACAAGCACTTTAATTTGCGGCAGTTTTTAAATATTAATTATTTTTAATGATTTAATAACTGCACCGGCTTCCAGGAAAATTAAAAAAAAAAAAAATAAAGAATTTTTTCTTCCATTAGTACATTTTTTCCTTAGATTTAAAATAAAATTAAAGCAATTCATGAAAAAAATATTCTCCAAAGCTACCTTTTTTCCATTCCTTACAATTTGTTCCACTTATATACATATTCAAGTTAACAATAAATATTTTTATAATTAGATCTTAAATTAAAAATTAAACAAAAAATCGGAATCAAAATAAATGTATGCATACTTACCGATGTAAAAATACTACTTCCACATCGACATCTTCTCGATCTTCGTGGAGAAAATCCTTTAGAAAATGTGACACCGATTCGTATGTTATGTGGCCGCACACCACAATGTGTCTGAGGATGGCCATATTTCGAATTCGTTCCATTGGTGATTTTCCAGCATTTATTTTATTTTTTTTTTTTAATCAACACAATATGGTATTTGTGTTGAAGAAATTTGGAAAATTGGGAAAAAGAAAAAACAGTATATTAGTTTCTTGCAATGATATGCTGTTCATTTAGAAATGTTTTGAAAAATCAAAACCACATAACTTAACTCTAAATGGGATGGTTAAAAAAATGTAAAAGAAAAAAGGAACATATTTTATTTTTATTGATTTTTTTGGAAAGCGACAAAAATGAGCATAAAATGATTCGAAGCGTTTGTTTAAATATTATTTTAAATTAATTTTTGTATTTGTGGCTTGGTTGGATAGTTATGTGTCGATGTTGCTTGGCAGGTGACATTTTTATGTTCAAAATGAAAATAAATACAAAATGTTTACATTCAATGATATTCATTACACTTCAAAATCTTCGAAATGCATTTAAATGTTTGCAATAATGTACTCACAAATGGAGTTCAGTACACCAGTTTCCAAAACGTATGAGTGATTTCATAAATGTTATATATTATATAACACTCATACGCAGGGGTTTCATTTCAAGTTTTGGGTCATCATTGATTAATAATACGTAATATAGATCTTAGTTTTGATACCGAGTGAATTTCTGAGGCCCTAGGACCCTTACCCTTCGTAGGTTTCGGATACAATTATTTTGATTCAAATATTTTAACGATCACCAAAAATCCACATTTCGTAGACATAAATAGCGCTCAACATAACTTCTAAAAGTGTAGTGAAATGACTGACTGACCGAGAATCAACGTCCAGACGAAACGGCTAAAGCTAGAATCTTGAAATTTTGAACGAGGGTCAATCTTAGAGCGTAGTCGTGTGATAAGGTTAGGTTTTTGGAAATTCGTTCTAAAAGGGTACTAAAATGTACTAAAAATTTAATACCCTGTATTGGACAAATGGAATGAGCTGGAATTCAAAAATTTGGTATGAGAGTCACTGATGGAGTTCAGGACAGATGTACCAAAGGGTTTATGGTTCGTTCGTACTTTAAGCTTGCGAAAAGTTCCAAAATGGTACTAAATTTGTAAAATGGCACCATTTGCTATTATGTAAACGGATAGAGCTAAAAACTTGACATTTGGTATGGGAATCAAAGTTGGAAAGTAAGTTTTATATATGGAGTTTATATATGTACGAAATGGTACTAAATTTGAAACAGTTTGGTTTAGGAATTTTGCAAACTTGTATTAGGGTCCCTGTTGCTGATAGTCACTGCTCAGGTGTAGCCTGAACATATGGAGATGGTTTTGGAAAAATGTATCATAATTGTACGAACTGTACTAAATGGTACTAAATTTCGAACAGTTTGGTTTAAGAAGAACCGATGGAGCTGAAATTTTGAAAACTTGTATTAGGGTAATTTTGGAAATGTGTACCACAATATCACGAAATGTACTAAATAGTACTATATTTGGAACAATTTGTTTTAGGGTGAACGGATGAAACTGGAATTTTTCAAATTTTGTGTTGAGGTCCCTGTTGGTGGTAGGTTTGTGATAAAGAGGTGGTTTTGGAAATCTGTACCACAAGTGCGCGAAAAGTACTAGAGAGTACTAAAATTGGTACAATTGGGTATTGGATGAACAGATAGTGCTTGAAATCTGAAATGTGATTTTAGGGTCGCTGTTCCGGTGTAGCCTGGACATATGGAAGTGGTTTAGGAAATATATACCATAATTGTACCAAAAGTACTAAATGGTACTAAATTTAGAACAGTTTGGTCTAGGGTGAACGGATTTTTCAAATTTTGTATTGGGGTTCCTGTTGGTAGTAGGTTTGTGATAAAGAGGTGATTTTGGAAATGTGTACCACAAATACCCGAAAAGTACTAAATGGTACTATATTTCGTACAATTAGGTATTGGGTGAACATATAGTGCTTGAAATGTGGTATTAGAGCCGCTGTTCGGATGTAGTCTGGACATATGAAGGTGGTTTCGGAAATTAGTACTATAATTGTACGAAAAGTACGGAATATACTATACTATATTTGGTATTGGATGAGGGGATAGAAATAAAGTTCTGAAATTTGATATTTAGATTACTGATGGTTTCTGTTTTTTTTTTTTAATTTGGCGGTGATTTGAAAATGCGTCCTATACTTGTACGAAAAGTACTAAATGGTACTAAATTCTTTATTGGTTGGATGGAATGGGCCGAAATCCTCATATTTGATATTGAGGTCTCCGTTGTTACCTGGAATTGAGATATGGAGGTGGTATTGAAAATGTGTACCATAATGGTACGAAAAGTACTATATGGTACTAACTTTGGTATTGGGTGAAGGGATAAAGTTGGAATCCCGAATTTTTATATGGATGTCCCTGTTAGTGTTTGTGGTTGAGATATGGAAATGGGTTTGGAAAGGTATACTATAATTGTACGAAAAGTACTAAGAGGTACTAAATTGGGCATTGGGTGAAGAAATAGGGCTGGAATCCTCAAATTTTATGTTGAGATCACTGTTGGTATCTGGAATAGATATATTGTATAAAAAGTACTAAGTGGTACTAAATTTGGCATTGAATGAAAGTATAGTGCGGGAATCCTCAAATTTGATATTGAGGTCAGTGTTGGCTTCTTGGGTTTACATATTGAAACGATGAAATAGTTCTGGAGAGAAAAATTGGATTTGAGTCCATTCTGCAATGGTTTTACGAATTTATTCCTCTGTAAACTTCAAAATTAAAGATTTTGCAGAATTTTTGATAAAAAAGGTAAACATTTTCTATTATTCAAAAAAGGAAAAAAGTTGAATATTATATAAAACTTTGAAAGTCTGTAAATTTCACTACGATGTATAAAGTTTTAATAAAAAAAAATAAACAAATTCTGAGTTTTAAGTACCAAAAAAGTCTAACACGAGCTGTTGGAATGAATCTAAAATTTTAAGTTGGACTTTTCGTTGACGAAGTAGCAGGTACTTGCTGTTAAACATTAATTTTCGTTTAATAATAAATTTAATACAAATTTATATATTTTTAAAATAACATCCTTCTAGGACAATTTGAAGGATTTGCAGATGTTCGAAAAAATGTAATAAATATCATTGAATATAAGTTAATGTGTGTTTGACATGTGTATGTAAGTTAAAGGCGAATTAGTTAATAATAAAAGCATTTTAGATTTGCGCACGTGTGGGTGTATGTTGTGAATGTATTGGTGTGGAGTTCAGCATAAAAAATAGAATTTGGTTTGAGTGTTGCTTGGGAGTGGTTTTGTTGTGGTGGTAGAGAGTTTTTTCCTTTGAAATTTAAAAAAAGTGGCAAAATTAAAATTTGTTGTTTGTTTGAAAATAATGTGTAATTAAAAAAAAAACATTTAAATATGTATAGGACACTTTGGCACACATGTACTTTGTATTTTTATTTGTTTTGATATATAGAAATAACAAAAAAAAATATAGAAAATTTAAATAATAAAGAAAAAATAAGAAAAAAAATAACAAATGCAAAATATAGCATATTTAAAAAGAATGAAAATAAATAGGTGGAAAAATAACTAAGAAGTAATGCAAAAATGTTGAAAAAATTAAAGAAGAAAACTTATTAAAGAGAAAATAGTCAAACACTGAAAAGCATAGAAAAAAGCAGCAAATTTGGTTTTTTTTTTCAAGAGAAGAACAATTTTTAGTAGCTATTACATAAAATGCAAAAACACAGAAATAGCTTTTGAAAGCTTTACAACATGCAATGGAAATAAATAATATATTTAAAATTAATGTGTTGTTTTTTATAAATTGTATTTGTTTTGTTGTATTTTTTATATTAACAAATAAATTATTTACGAAACTTTTAGTCTGCTACCCCATAAAGAAACATTCATTCCATTCATCATTTGTGATTTAATTATTATTAATTTTCATTCTTATTTTTATAAATATTATCACATTTTTGTTTGATTAATATCATTTGCTTTGCAATTTTAAGTTGCCTTGCTTTGTTTGTTTTGTTTTCATTCTTTGTTTTGCTGTTTTGTTTTGTATTAGCACATCAAATGAAACAACAATAACACATGTTTAACATTAACACTCACATTTATGGGTAATTAGCATTTATTTCTCTACTAACAGAGAAAGTGTAGTTTAATTATTTTTAAAATTATTTTAAAAACAGAAGAAAAAAATTCACAACAAATTTGTTTTTTGATTAATAAATTTGGCTATTTATAAATATATAAATTCAAATATAACAACAAAATGTATAACACTGTGCGTCATTGTAATTTTATGACTAAGAAGAGTTATTTATGCAAGAAAACGCTACATTGCAACACTTGCAAATGCATTGTCCACTCCCCAATAATTACGGCGGTGGATTGTGCCGACTTTGTTTTGTTGTTTCTGACTCTCCCTCTCTCTCTCTCTGTCTCTTTGTTAAGAAAATGTTCTAGGCATAGACTGCACACAGCCGCATTGGCACATTCATTGTAAAAACAACAACACCATAAAGAGAGAGAGGACAATTATTTTGTTTTGTTGACCCACAGAATCGAATTGGTGTTTCCCAATTTTTTTGTGAATCTTTTTTAAATAATAAAATGATTAAATTGAAAATAAACTGAAATTTGTGTCAACATATTACTGGGCAAAAGTGGTTCGAGCTCTGTGGACAACACGTTTCACATTTCGGCTGCATCAAAACGCGAAAGCCAAGGAGAACAAAACATCTGATGACCCCAGAAGAGACGAGTGTGGGCAGATCGAGCTGACCAGGGAAGTGTCTTCCGTGTCTGTAAGAAAAAGTACTCTTAATAATGACGAACATAGGCGGTCCACTCCCTAGCAGAAGGAAAATGCTGATGGCATTTATAAATAGTATTCTTCTGTATGGTTCAGAGGTCTAGGCATCAACGCTGGAGACGCGAAATCGAGCAAGAAAACTGCTCGCGGTGCAACGAACAGACGCATTTCGGGTGACATCAGCATAGCGTA